TTTTTGTAGTATATTTTTTTATTTGCCACAGCCACAGCAACTTTTTGTAGGACACTTGAAGCGGCTCTGTGCCAAAAACTTTGTCAAGGGTTTTCGCATCGCACTCTAAACTCATTTTGATTTAGTCGTCGTTTAGTTTATTTTCACTGCAAATTTGGTTTATTTAACAATATACATACATATGTATATAAATTTACACTTTTTTAGGCGGCAAGTGTAAATGAGTGTAATTTATTTAGCGCTTTGCATTCGCTTTCAGCTGTGAGACTCAAGTGTGAAAATCCTGTAATCTGCTGTCTTTAAGTCCCCAGTCCCCACATTAAAATGCAGAAATATTGGCCTGTGATAGATGACATTTGAATGAAAATGGAAATTTATATAGATTTTGGGCAAGCTAATCATAATTATAAGTCCCGAAAGAGTGTTAGCTATTATTTAATAGTTCGGTTTGGTCTCTGCATGCAAATGACTTGAAAGTAAAATAATTTCCTGACTTCAGTTATCATTCAAATAGAATTAGCATTCTTTTAACTCATTTCACTTAAAAGTGTCTGAAAGAAATCTAATTTGTGAATCTGTATATTAAAAAGTTACATTTAAAGTGTAATTCAAATAATAAATACAATTTAATTTATTTAGGTTAAAATGCTGATTCATCTCCGAATTGTTAGCTAAGTTTGGCCAAACAAAAACGACTTGACTTGAGCTGAAAGCACTTTTTCTTTGGAATCGCTGCGTGTAATTTATTTGCACTTCACTTTGTGGCCGCAAAGCTCCTCCCAAACACTCGAGCTATCGCGAAGACTGAAAGCCAGGGCATTTTTATGCCAAAAAAAAATTAATCCACGTTTTATTAGACAGCTTAAGAGCGACTAAAACGCATTTATAAAAACAAGTCCGAGTTCTGGCATAATTGCCAGCAAATTAGTTTGCTTTTGCATGCTGCACTTGAGCGAAATAATTCTCATGCATTTTCTTGGCGAATTGTCTGCGGAAGCAGGGCAGCAGGCGGTTGGCTTTTTGATTTAAATTTGCTCATTCAGTATTTTCCTGCTACTGCATCTTTAGTAATTTTTGCACATTTTTTTGTGCTTCTCAAAGTTGGTCAGTTGGCTTAATTAGAGTTCGCTGCCGCCTGGGAGCTGCGGCTGCCGCTGCTGCTTTCCCCCTTCTCTATCTTGTAATGCCATATGTCCAGTCGGCAGCTGAACAGAGTTAAACACAATTACACTTTCCTTTGCTCTTTTCTCTTTCTCATTCTGCGTTGCTATGTAATTCTGGTCCATTCTTTACAACTTTCACTTTAAACAGTGCGTTGCATTTCTGTTTTGCTCGCTCATGAATTGAAAGGAGAGTATTTGTTAATGGCATTAAACGTGCTTAGATATAGGTGTTAGGCAGTGCTGCAAATTTTTATATAGAGTATTGAGTTCATATATCTTGTAGTTAATGAGAATGAATGAGAATTTCTAAATCTGACTAGTGTGCCGTTAGTACATATCTAAGTGTAAACTGGAAAAAATATTTGTAAGCGGGTATCACGCAGTTTCCTAAACGCGAGTGCAACCTTCTTTTGCTGCTTATCTTCTGGGTAGGCGTGGCATTTAAAAGTAATGCTCTGCGAAATGCAATTATGTAAATGCCTCCAGCGCAGAAATCGAAGTTAATTAGGTCGTAACTGTGGTGCAAATTGTAATGCCCCCGCGGCTCGACTGGCGGTCAAATTGCTCGGATAGGAATTAGTGAAGCACAAAATTGAAAGGGTCATAAAAATGTCAGCTTTCTTGCTCTGCATTTAATGCGAAATGAAATGTTGGTCATGAAAAAGTGGTTTGTGGGAAAAAGGGTTTATAATATAGTTAAGTGGATTTATTGACGTGACCTTCGGTTCTGTGTGCTTGGCAGCATTTCAAACGAATGCCAATTTAAAGCGTTAGCTAAAACCATAACAAATTCAGTTTAAGCTTCAACAATTTCAAATGAATCGCAATTTTTAGTTCATGGAAATGGTTGTTAATAAATATCCTCGAATTTCGTCTATTGATATTTGCTATTCAAATGTCAATGAAATTGTATTAAAATTGTTTGCCATTTATTTTAAATTGTATACATAGCATTTGGCACCTTGTGCGTCATAAATCAAAAACACACACATAAATAGAGAGGAAAGGAGAGAGAGAGAGAGAGAGAGAGGGAAAATAAAAATATGTACGACATGCTCATAAATGAATTGGGCTTTGATTTAGAGCTATTGCCAACCGATTTACATATGCACAAATATTTTTAATAATTGGAAACATTGCCTTCTCACAAAAACTAAAAGTGCATAAATCAGCAATGCCTGACTAGTAACTACTCTACTTCTTGTCAATATATGAGCTGGCATCAACCATTAAACTATGGAAATCATCTTAGACTTCTACGTATAAATTAGGTATCTTTTAAATTTCAAGTATAGCCAATCGAAGTTGTACGAATATATCGGCATACAAGAAATCGAATAAAGAGACACTCAAAAGATAGAAGAAGAATCAAATATGAAGTCACCGATTATATGATAGAATATAGCTAAATTGGCTTAACATGATATTTTGATCTAAATGCATACAGAAAATTATCACATCCTTGTCAGCCATCTAACAGGGTACATCGAAAAAAACCTAAAATATATGAGCACTGCTTATTGGGTGAATAAATTTAAATATTTTGAATAAAATATACATGCAGAAAATAGATTGCGAACATATAAATAGTTCATATGAAACATTTACATATTTTTAGGTACCTTTAATTCTCAATTCCCCTAACAGAATAATTCAGAAAACGATATTTAAGCGAACTTTTCACTGTAATAAATATTTTGCTAATGTATTTGAATCTCGAATTTGGAATTTTTGCATTCGGCTTAATATTGTTTTGCATTGTGTAAATGAATGCAATTATGGACATACAATTATAATATTTGCCAATGGTTAAATGCATTTAATTAAGCGCCTGCATTTGCCAAATTTACAAGTTTAATTGCGCGTTTGCGTTCGTATGGCTAGAAAGTATAGATAGTATAGCTGAATATATATTTTTTTTACTATTTTAGAGCGTAATGAAAAAGTGTTTTGGCTGGTTTGACTTGGCCCATTGATTATTTTTAGCACAGACTGGCAAAGGTCTTCAATTTTAATTAACTTGCAATTAAAGCGTAATTTATTGGCGCACTTTGATGGTCGTAAATTAGCTACTCGAACAACTTTCCAAAATGCCGGAGCGCGTGCAAATCAATTTATAAAGCCCATGCAAGCAAAAGTGAAACCCAAAAAAAAAGATAAAAAAATTGAGAGAGCTGACTTGCTACACACAGCTTCAAAAGGTCCAAGGCCAAGCGAGGCGAGATTTTTCTGTGTGTTGCGAATCGTTTTATGGGGCGTATGGGCAACCCACCACAGTGTGACTGACGTGTGACCCACACAGACAGAAGGGGCGGGCGGTGGAGATGAGAGGTGCAGGAGAGTTGTGAAAAGAGTGTGAAACAGAAAAAGGTTACACGGTTTGTTTGAGAACTGGCCATCACCTTTAAACGTTTTTGCCCCACACGATGAAGAAGTCAAACAAGTCACTTAGCTGCTTCTGCAAACAGAGATGCAAAATTGACCGAAAAAGAAGTAAAAAAAGGAAGCAGAAAAACTTTTTGGTTGGCCAGAAGCCAAACTGATTTAAGACTCTAAGTCAGATTGTGCACAGATACTCTATAGGTGCACTTAGACTAAGTGGGAGAGAAAGAGATTTGTGGCAGGAAGTGTCTGATAAGCAGCTTCAAGCTGACTGTCCCTTGGGAAGTGCACGGATAAATAGCTGAGGGATTCGTTTGACTGATCAAACTGCATGGGTAATTAATAAGCACAGGAAAATGGAGCTCAGTCGAGTTGAAAGCCGGAGCTGAAGCACATTTTGTGGTGGGTGGTCGGAAGATGAATACGACATAGATGAAGATAAGTCGTTTGAAGTAATGTATATAGTATCAAATATATCTATTCAATTTAAGCTTTACGAAAATTGTCGTGCAAGCCCTACGTATACATTTTTTTGATATTTAAGAGTTTTTATATATATAAAAGTGTATTACTACATTTTTTGAGTTACATATGAAAATATATAAGAGACAGAGTAATTAATTACCAAAATAAATACATTTTGAGCAGGTGATATATTCTAGTGCTGTGAAAGACTACTTTAAAAAATATTAAAATATATTACAAATTAATTAATTGTAAAATTTATTGCACTAAAATATAATACAATGTGAGAGCTCTAGATGATTTGCTTTAAGAGAATGAATGCTAAAGTATATTGATAGAAGTAATGCGGATGTATTAAGTAGGCTAAAGTGAAGGTGTTTGTGTTACGCAATTTTAAATCATAACGATAGAAAGAAATGTATTTTTAAAATATTGTATAGAAAGTTTTGTGACAATAATGTTATAATATGATTATGACTGACGCGAACAGAGATCAGTTTTCCAACCAATCCGTTTTCGCAATCATGACCATCATCGGTTTTGAAGACAATGAATCCGTCAGCACAAGAAGCTTACCAAAAAGTTATTTTCAGTAGATATAATGGTGTTTCGACAATAGCTTCTGAATTATCCTTACTTTAAATTCTCGATAAGTTAGACGATTAGAACCATAAGTTTGATTAATATATCAGCAATTTGCTGGACTTGCTATAATGCAAGTTTAACCAAACAAAAAATACCAAACCATATTCAATAAAAACCAACTATAAGTTAAAATAAGTGGGTTGCAACTCAAAAAAAAAAAAACATCCTTTTATTGGGAGTACCAAAAGCCAGAAAAATATATATATATTTTTTCTTTTAGTGTAGCTATTTAAATAAATCAATATAATAAATGTTTTATTTTGTATAAAGTATGAGTTCAAAAACACCGTTAGAGCTAAACAAACATAGACGAGCAAACAATGATCTTTTATGAGTTATCTCACTAAATGATTTCTAAAACTCACTCTTTAACTGATTTGCCTTAAGGAACTGCCTGCATAAATCTATCTTTAAGAATATATGTCTACGCCAAAGAGCTGCAAAGAGAACCAAAGAGAATGATTTGTCTTTTACGTCCAATGCGAAGCTAGCTGAAAAATATACAAAACAGTTGTCGCTTGAACGTCGATCGTGCCGCTTGTGTTGCAGTTGAACGTGTGGGGAATGCTGTTCGTTAGCGTCAGGCCAAGTATCTGAAAGATACATCTTTTGCACGGTCTAAAAATAAACGACGAAACTGAAAAAGGGGGACAAAAACAAACGCACGCGCCAATTGCAAAACATAGGGTCGGACCCCTAAAAAGCAAAAAGTTCAAATTTTATAAATAATAAAATGTGAATATGAAAAGGAAAACGCCTATGTGAAAATGCAAAAGCGAAAATATATTTGTGCTATCCAGATATGAATCGAAAAGTGATATATTAATTTATCGGTGCGACAGAAAATTAAAGAAGTGTATACAAATTCGGATGATCAAAAGCTGCGACATGCAGATCAAAGTGCCTTGCAAACATAATAAGCAAATCAAGCGGAAAATGCATTCCGCAAATTGGTAAATGCAAATTGCCAGAAATTGATAATGCGTATAATTTTTGCAAAAATTAAAACAGGAAAATATTGCAGAAAAAAAACAGACAAACATGGGAGAAATCTGTAGCATTGCAAATATTTACTGTTCGGACCGCAACCTGCAGGACTTTTATTGCAATTTACATTAATTAATGCATAATTAAAAAAAAAAGCAAAAAAATTTATTTCGCAAATGCAAATCTGTTAAAAGCATATATGATTTTATTTTCTGTTCGCTTTTTCCATTGCCGTTCATCAACTGAATGTTTTCACTTAATTTTTATGATATTGTGTTGCAGATAAATATTTCATACGTTCAGACACTTATATAGAGAGCATATAAATAAACAGAAGCTGTGAAAATTGCAGCGATAAACTGACGTCAAGCGCTCGCAAAAACCGAAGCGTAAATATAATGGGTTTTCAAAAAAAAAAAACAGTGAAGAAAAACAAAAGAAATAAAAAATGTAAAATTCTAAAACATGCTACTAAAGGAAAACTTATGCAGTTAGGTTCTACATTGAATAGTAGAATATTTTTTCGAATTTTCTTATTTTGCTAGAAGTTTTTGTTAAATACCCGAAAAAATAAGGAAAAGGATACTGCCTTGTTTCCACATTTTAGTATGACTTGTTTTATACTGGAAATCTGATTTAATCCATTCCATTCTTTTTGGTTTAATCTGTTATAAAGGAATTGTAAAGTATTTTGATGCAGTTTAAATTCAAGAAAGGATGTGTGCTCTTAAAAACTTGCAGACTGAAAAATATTTTGAAATAGTTTCTTTGTTTCTAAACATAAATAGTATGAATGCAGTTATATTGTGAGACTAATACATATTGTATGTGATGTGGATGTGTTGTATAAGAAGTTGCAAAAATTTCCATATTTAAATTGATTATTTGACTTAGGCTTTTCTTAAAATTATGTTCACTTTTCAAATACACAATGAAACTTTTTTTTTATTAATTTAATCTTGCAATATAAAATAACCAGTCTGTCAACTGAAATAATAATAAAGTTCTGTTTCTCAAATGGCTGACAATTATCTGTCAGTAAACTGTTAATAATGTTAAAAAAATTAAATATACTTTTGAAGTGCAATTCAATATCCTAGACATGTCTTTTGCTTCAATATATGAATTTGTATACATATGCATATGAATATTAGAATTTGTTCATCATTTCTTTTGGAAGCTGTCAGCTTTTCAACTTTTCAGCAAATATTTGTCTAGCTCTGTATTTAATTTGCAGCATATGCACTAAATGTTATGCCAATATTACACTGCAATCAATTGTGCTAGCAAATCCCTCTTAAATCTCTCACAATATACTCTTGCACACACACACATGTCTATACACGCTCATATCTATTGCAATGGTGTAAACAATTTGGCATTAAAATAGTTGTCCGAGTCGAGCCGGGGCATTTAAAAATGTTGTACATACACTCGTATATGTAGGTATATATATTTGCTTCACTTAATTTGCATGATAATGGGCCAGATTTATGTATTTGTTACGCCTACTTTTATATTCAAAAGGAAGGCGTTTGCGTTGGCATGCAGCTTTTTGGCCCGAAAATAAATCGCATAATTCGAAATAATTTTTGTGGCTCATTTTTTTTTGCTTTTGACTGTTTTTTGGGGGTTTGTTGAACTCATTTCTCGTAGATTTTGTTACGTTTCGCTACGTTCTTATTTTGAATTTCTAAACCACAGCAATGCTCGCTGTAGACACCTCGAAGCCCCCAATTTCGAGTGGAGCAGCTAAAATTAGTTGCAAATAATTTGTTCTTGTTGCTGCTGCGTTTCTTTTTATGTTTTTTGGTTTCACATTTTCAACTTTCTGCCACGCCCGGTTACCACGTGTCGAATGTGACAGCTTTCAATGCGTTGTCATCTCTCGATGCTAATTATGCAAATTAAGTTGGCCCCAACTAGGGTATAGGCGCCCCTTTGACATCATTTGCATTACAAATGCGAGCGCCATTTCTCCACCCGTCGCTTCTTTTATAAGCAGCATATGATTTATGACATTCCGACGTAATGCACATTCACATGCACATCAAATATGCAGCAAGAGAATATTTTTAACTTCTATATATATATTCAATATTTTGAAGAGGAAAATATATATTTTTATTTTTGAAGAATAATGAGTGCAGAGTGGGACAAACTTTGATTTGGGCGTTGGTTGGTTTACAAATAAAAAATTTTTTTTTTAATTTTTGTGTATTTATTTATGAGTGCAACTGTGTGACGTTTGTATATATGTGTGCAACATATTGTGGCAATCATAAAAATATTTACTTCAGTTTTTATTTCTGATAGCACTTGGTCGTCATGTTTATTCATGAAATAGTTTTAATTTTATTGCAGTGTATTTAAAAAACATACATTTTTAAGCTTTAAAAGTCAAATAAAATGTTAAATAGATGAATATTTAATAGATAGATAGAGACATCAATTGGTGCATAGATCTACAGTAAGAAATACTGATAGATAAATAACTAGATATAAATGAAATTATTGGTAAATATTTAGATGAATACACAAAATAAGGCTTTATATTTATTGAATCTTTACCAAGTAATCTATCTATTAGCTAAGTCATTTTGACTGTGGAACTTCTTCTCTAATTATCTCAAGATAGCTCTAATATATATCTAAACTATTCTTAAACTATTCAAAAACTCTCTCTAGAAACTATGTCCAATTCACATAGTCATCTATCAGCAGTTTGCAGCAAGTACAAAGCATTTTCCAAATCGTTTTTGGGTCTGCACGGACCGTGTGAAGTAGCCCGCGGGCACCCGAAACGAGCATCGGTGCTGGCGACAAAGTAATCCAAATCAAATCAGTTTACTTAGCTCGCATCCAATTGGAATGCGAAAAGTTCTTTTGTCTTCGCCTTTTGCCAGCTGCCAGTTCTTGACAGTTTCTGCCAGTTTAGCTCGTGACTGCATTTTCCGTTCTGCTTTTTTCAGTTTTCTTTTCTATTTCTTTAATTTTATTTTTTTTCCATTTCCTTTTTGTTGTGCGAAGTGAATTCCGAGGACAGTTTTGTTGTGCTTCGATTTTAAATTCTTATTTTATACACTTGCAGTTTATTTTTAATGTGGCGAATTTTATTTAAATGCGGTGTCGAGCTGTCGTTTATTTATTGTTTATTTTGGGCTATTTTTAACGAAGCGCATTTTCGTTTTCACTTAGTGAAAGTGAATTAAGTGCTAAGTCCGTATATACTAAACGCTCAACAGCTGATATCATGATGTCCAAAATAGCGATGATTTTCCATTCAATAAAACTGTCTATAAATACAGCCCGAACAAACATCAGCTAACGCCGACTCAATTAGTCCCTACATACGACTAGATTTATTGCTCTCTTTCGAAAGCAAAACTACTTTCTCAGCTGCCAAAGTGCTGGAAAAGCTTCAACACCAAATTGAAAACTTTCCCAAAATTTCATATTAATGTTTGCAGCTAATGTACCTTGACATTTGAGCGCATTAAGGTTAAAAATAATATGGAATTTCGTAAGATAAATAAAAGACATTTCAGAGCGTTTTTTATGTTTTCTTATATTTATTTTTAAATATGTACAGGGTATTAGCACTAAAAATGTAACGCGTATAAAATGAGTTGCTTTGAAAAATTATATTTATGATCAATGTGATCAATTATCAGATGTGTTGCTTTTAGAGTTCTGAATTGAGTCTGTATTAGAAAATAAATGTCAGAATATACAAAAGAATATAAATATCTACCTAGAACTATCTAAGTAATATGAAGTTGTTTCAGCAAATACATATTAAAAGAAATATATTTAGGGTTAGCTAGGCTAACAAATTCATACAATTATTATGCATGTCTTTAATGTTAAATGAGTTTCAAGGGTATTGTAAGTTCGATACCAACATTTTCTAGCGTTTTCTGGGGACACTTTTTATTTTTAAACCCCAGAAGAGTGCAAAAAGTTTTAAGTGCAGCCGGAAATGTTGCTGATAAATATAATATGTAGAGTATGTTTGTGTACGATATATACATAAATATATATATAACTGATTTACCAGCAATTTAAATCTGTTTTGTTACATTTTTAGCTATACAATTTTTTTCTTTAGCTGATTTTCAGCTTTTCCCATTGCTCCAAATATTTTGTGTTTCAGTTGGGTTTGTTGTTGAAATAAAAAATGCTTTTAGAGCGTCACGGCGTTCTGTTTATTTTAATATATAGTCATATACACTTATGCTTACATATATACACACATATATAAATATATATATAGCATATATATATTTATTGAGCTATTCGGCACATTTTACGCGTATGTTTCTTTGTGTAGAGTTTTGTTGCTCGTAAATAAAAACATTTAAAAGTAATTTTTTCGTTCCGTTTTTAGGTATTTGTATTGATTTTATTTGTTATATATATATATTTATCAATACGTATGTATATATGGAATTAGTGTCAACACACACACAGAATTGAAAACAAACTGCCGCGCAAAAGAGCACTAAGAAGCTAATTGAATTTTTATTAGCATTTTTATGATTAATCGTCATGGGAAATATTGCTATTTTTGTCATTTGTGTATGCAGCAGAGCAACAAATTGTGAATCTGAGACCAAAGTTTCAAATGGCATTCAGATTTCATTTGGTACGTCTCGGCATTTGAATGATAGACGTTTGCTCTGTCCTACATATGTGTATGTATAGATCATATATGTATTCTTTGCTTCCAATTTGTATACAAAATCGTTTTAATGTCAGCTCTTATATCATTCGATGGAAATGCTCAGAGTTTCAAAGTCTACAAAGCGTATCATTAAAGTCCAATTGATTTGATAATCCTTCAAGTGCGTGCTTCCAAGTAATTGATTTTGTGAGAGCTGCCACTAAACAGAACCAACTTGCAACATAATTGGCTGTTGTCAAAGAGCGAAAATAAATGTTCAAATTGGAAAAATGAACAGCACTTTGATGGAAAACCTTGTCAATTTGAAGTGAAAAATAAACAGATGACGGCTGGATGAGAGAAATTTTTGCGAAAATTTAATTGTGTGTCTATGAACTTATGTGATAATAAAAAAACAGTTGAAAATAGTAGAAAATTAAAAAATATCAAAGTAATTTGGCATAATTTCTTTAAATTGCAATGAAAACAAAAATGATTTAAGTATTGATTAACATGTGTTGACCTACATAATAGGTTTTAAAATAAATAGTAATACTCATGTGTGCCAAACTGCAATAATATCTGCATATCTTTTTATTTCAACAGAATATTAAAAAAATTCATTGCTCAAACGTGAGAAATAGTAATTAATTTTCTTTTTTTGCTTGAATATTCATTATTTGATACAATATTCATATATTATATATGTATCGGTATTGAATTTAATTAAATGATTTTTTTTTAAATATTTATATTGCAACAATAATAAACTTGAACACATGTTTAACAAGGTGTTAAGCAAGATGCTGCTGGTCATTTAAATACCATAACCTCAACACAAATATTTGAATGCAATTCTCAAAGCATGTCGGAGCTGTGTTTAATCTCTAATGCCTTTGACAAACAAAAGCGACAGAACGTAAATATTTGCACTGAAAGAATCACAAAAGAAAAGAGCAGCAGCTGCTCAAAAAACATAAAATAAACAACAAGAAATGGAAAACAACATCCCAATTGTTTATAGCTTTGAGTTTTACCCAATTCGCATTTTCTTATATTTTTTATGTTCTTTTTCTCGCACTTTCTTTGCACAAAGAAAACTGAATGAAAGTTTTTTCATGCAGCTGCAATGCAAGAGTCCATGTATAGTATACACTCCACAGGAAGCATGTTAAGAATGTACAAGTAAATAAAGAAGAAGATCTATTCAGGACCTCTATGAAAACGATGTAAATAAAAAAGTAGAAAATAGAAGAAAATTGAGAAAAATAGAGGAAAATGCGGTGATTTGGGCAGAGCATAAAACGCAATTAACGCAACGAAGAAAAAATAGAGCAACAGACAAATACAAAAGACAAACGTAATGTGAAAACTTGAGCTTGGCTAAAATTGAAATTAAAATTGAAAATTGAAAATTGAAAATAAAAAGCAGCAGCAAAAGCACTGAGGACGTGAGCGAAAGAGGGAGAAAGAAGGCGCCATGAAGTTTCACTTGGCTGCTTTTTGTTTATTTTTGTTGACAGTTGGCGGCAACCGGCAGCAATTAAGCGCTGATTGTTGCCACGAGGCAGCCACTTGGGGCATGCCAGCTGCAGATGCAGCACTTGCACCAAAGCTAAATTCAATCGATGGCCGCATCGGAAATGAGCTGCAACACGAAACAAAATTTCGTGTGGCCGCAATTCAAACACCAGTCGAACCTCCGTCGGTTATTGGGGACATCACAACAACAACAAAAGCAACAACAACAAGGCCATCAGCCCTAACGGATACCACAACGCTCACGGCCAAAACAATCGCTCAGCTGACATTCAAACCAGCCAAGACGAACAATTTGGAGCTGAGCTTTAAACAGCGCATGGCTCAGCTATTTGCCAGCGAGGAGCAGTCCGAGTCCACACCAACAACAACAATAACTACTCTTGACAATGATAGCAGCACTCATCATCCGGAAAGGCGGCACGTGGTGCCCGACAAGCTGCTCTACACACAGGAGCTGCAAATCAAACAGGGCCGCCTGATGGGCATCACACGTCGCTTCCAAGTAACGAGCGGGCTGCGCGAGGTGGATCAATATTTGGGGCTGCCCTATGCGGAGGCGCCCACTGGCAGCAGACGATTCATGCCGCCAGGTGAGTAACGGCTCTTGACCACAGTAATGACAGATCAGCTATTTATAGTTACAAATTTACCTTTGATTATTTTAAATGAAAAACATGAGAAATTGTTTGTATCAAGCAAAACAGCTCTGTTAATTAATTCGTAACTTAGAGGTATTTTTTCAAGTGTCATATAATTATCTTTTATGTTACAATATTATTAAGATAATCTTGCTTCAGTCATATTCAGAGTCAAATCGATTAAATGAACCGATAAATATCTGAAATATTGAATTTATAGCTTTCTATGGTTGGGTTTATTTACACTTATATCTATCTATCTATCTATCTAGTAACTCCAATTTTAAGATAAATGTAACTGAATTTATGTCTTATTATTTATATACAGCAAAGTTCTCATTGGGAAACCTTGCATTTGTGACAAGTTTAAGGTGTTTTTCAATAGCTTTATTTATGTATATTTATGTAGGGTAACATTTGCAGTTGCCAACATGCAAGCCTTATTGGTACTTAACTGCAGTGGCCACACCGTATCGAAAATGAAAATCCAAATAACGAAGCACATACCGGGAAAACAGTCTGACCATGTCTAAAGCATGCTGCAGGCCAATTCAGAATTTGGTCTGCAATTTAAGCAATTATCTTTGCGGGTGCACCTGGCTGAGGTTTTTGGCAAAACTTGACACGTATTGCGGCCCTGCTCGAAATTTTTGCAGTTCAATTGGGTCCAATTGGAAGTTATTGTTGCAATGAAAATGTTTGTTGACAGGAGTATTTCTCGAATATATTTGCAGCTCAAATTTGTTTAAGGAATATGTGGCAAGCTGTGCGTATGCTATTTTCCTTTATTTTATAATTGGGTATCTCAGTATTGGAGAGTGCCAAAGTATGCTAATTACGCATATACAAATTGCAAATATTTGCCAATTATGCGCTTGTTGAATGCCAAACGAGAATTGTAAATACCGAGACTTGGCCAAGTTATTTCCGGCTATTGAGTGGCTGGCTAAGACTTGCAGCTCGCAATCGGACAATCAGGACATTGCAATGCAAAAACCACAAGCTATCAACTGTATTTACAACTGCACAACTTTGTAGGCGCTCTGACAGGACAAGGACAGAGCCAAGGACAATAAACTATGTGGCAACAAAATGTTGCACTACCCAAAGCCACAGGCCATGACAGAAGTGCCTGTCACGAATTCTATTTGTGTGTATTTGTGTGTTTTAGTGTGTCTCCGTGTCTCGCTGTCCCTCTGTGTTTGTATGTGCTGCAAAAGTGTTTGCCACCGCGTTGCGTTTATTGAGCACTTGAGTGGCGCACACTCAATCCAAGCGACAAGTGCAACAACAACGGAAGACGGCGGACAGGCGCTGTTGCTAAGCTCAACGCTGACGCCATATTTGTCAGCGGAAACTAGTGTTGTTGTTGTTGTTGCAAACGTGGCGACGCGCTGTTGCAACAATACGAAGCTGAATTTTCCTAGGCAAATACAAAGCCAATGCAAATACTAGATTCGCTTGCGTATATGCTATGTATGTAGAGTGGAAACACACACCCGAACACACTTATACACACACACCCGAACAACACGCACACTAACGAGCAAATACAAAAAGTTGTGGAAAACACGTCGCAAATTGTTTTGCCAGCATTTGTCTTTGTCTCCCGTTCTACTCTAGTATCGCGTGTGGTTTTATTTATGTACTTACAGCGCGTCCTATTGCCTGTTGCGAAAATTATTAATAACAAAATGCAAATAACGCCACCGACTGACGCTCAACTCCCCTGCCAAACCCAACCAAGACGTCCCTCCCTTGCCGGCTTATTATGCGGCGCACACAGAGATGTGACCATGTGCACCAAGATCTGTCTGCTCTTTGTTTTATGGGCATCATAACATAACGCGTCGCAATCGACAGGCGAAATGAAATTCGTTTGACTTGTATATGTCAAAGTGTAAATGCTGCATATTTGGAATGTTTAGAGATGAATAAAATTGCCCAGATATGAAATGGGAAAATATGCAAAGACACAGACAAAGACAAGCAGATATACGGGGAGAGGGAGGAAGACGTAATGAAATAAAGCACGTAAAATTAGTTTTCTTTAAGATAACGTTTTATTTAATGAAAGCAAGCTTGTCCGAGATAAATATGTGTGAAATAAAAAAAAAAATATATATATATATATATTTATATATATATATATATATATATATATATATATATATATATATATATATATATATATATATATATATATATATTAATATATATTTCTCTATCTGACAACAAAATTTGATTGTACTAATGCCATTTTCTTGTGAGAAATGCAAAATGAGTCCCATTGTAACATATATTACTCTTATAATCTGCTGATTGACTAGTTTCCGTATCACGATTAGATTTTAGAAGAATTTATTTTTTGTGGTGAATGTTTGAAGCTTTTAAATAAATAACTATACTATACTATACTATACTATACTATAAGCTCAGAGTAATTTTAATTAAATGTAAGTTCACAACAACTACAACTTTAATCTACTACCCAACGTGAAAACTATGAAAACTCACTAACTAAAATCTTATTTCATATATTGTATAGTTGTATATCTATCTGCTTTTAATTAATTTGCATATTAATTCGTTGCGAAAGCTGCATTAAAATTCAATTTTGCGCTTGACAACCCGATCAGAATTTGCATAGTGGTTCGGAACGGAAGCATTTGAATCTTTGGCAAATATTGTCACCGAATAACCGCTGTGCAAGCTAAGCTGCAGCAATTGGTTGTCCGTTGATGTGGTACGAAGTGTGTCATGGGGCATGCTTAGTGTGAATATGTCTGTGTCCGTGTGCAAGCAAGTTGCTGTAGCAACAATGCAACGGAATCGAAACTAAGTTGACCAAATCGTGGTCACAATTGCCCCACATAAGTTCCACTCACACGCGATGCAATGCAGTGCGACGCGACGTTAACTGAAATGCCAAAAGCCCAACCGCAGTCAACTTGCCCACAGTGTCCCGAGCGTCCTTTGCAGGAAGTGTTCTGTTCAGCATGTGTGTGTGAGTATGTATGAGTGTGAACGTGGGTGTGAGTTCGAATGTGACTGTCTACTTGTTTACGGCGCTTGCAAGGCCCCGTTGACCGTGTTACATAAATACGAAATTGACTTTGTGCTCCCCAAATGCCACGCAAACCAATCGAATTCTTGTTTTTCCGCAGCAACCGGAAGGGATGAAGAGTGAACGAGAGGCAGAGAGAAAAGTAAAAATAACCGAGCGTGGAATCGTTGGTTATAAAAGCCACATTGGGCTTTTATGGGATGCTATATGAAAACATGATTTATGCTAATCAGCTTTAAGAATTTCAATTTATAAGCAACTTAGGTACCTAAAATAAAAAATGATGAGTTTTGGTATAAATTATGCCATTAGAAAGATTTATTTGTTATCTTGGCTCATGGTATTATAATTGAGTCTCTATTTTATGTAATTAACAAATTAATGATAAAAGTGCTCTAGTTGGTAGTGCCCCACACTTGAGGCACCCGTTTAAACTGTGCTAGAAGTTATTCCGGTACGCTTCTTCTTTTTCTTCTTCTTCCACAAACATGACAAGCAAGAGTTGCTCACTGAATGACATGTGAATTTGTGTATTTTTTATATATATATATATATATATATATATATAAAAGAGGCATATAGGAATATATAGTGCTCTTCATAGCTCGACAGAGAGGCGGACATGGCTAAATCGAATCAGCTAGCGAATATATATACTTTGAGGTTCAGTATTACATAGGGCTAGGTATAATTAAGAATAGCGGCATATAAGCAAATATATAGCAAGCGCATAACTTTCATAATAACTCTTAATTACATTTAATATCATTTATTAAGACTATATATATATATATATATATATATATATATATATATATAATATGTTAACTTACATTTTTACATTTTCGTATTGAATTCCGATTTCACCCAGTTTTGATATTTCTGTGCACACTGTGCTGTTGAATAGTGCCAGTTTTGCTCAAGTGCTGGGGAAAAGTGTTTTATGAAAGTTTGTGTTAGCTTATCTAATGGTGTTGCCTTACACCTCTCTTTCACTTTCTCATCCTCCGCTTGCAGGTGCACCTTTGCCATGGCAGGGCCTGAAAATCGCGCGTCATTTGCCGCCCGTGTGTCCACAAAAACTGCCGGATGTGTCCGGACCGAGCAGCGTAAACATGTCACAGGGCCGTTACAGGCACTTGATGCGACTGATGCCCTATCTGAAAACCGAGAGTGAGGACTGTTTGTATCTCAATGTGTACGTGCCGCATGGAGGTAACTTAATGATGCACATAGAAAGTCCTCAAACTAAAGGCATGAAAATTCTCTTTCAGATCCTCTGCCAGTGTCTAAGCAGCACGCTGTGCTTGTTTACTTGCATGGCGAGTCCTTTGAGTGGAACAGCGGCAATGCTTACGATGGCTCCGTTCTGGCCAGTTACGGGGATGTGATTGTGGTTACCGTCAACTACCGCTTGGGCGTTCTAGGTAGGTGTAACGCCGCCCGTTCGTGCTAATGGACAGTGTGCTAATTGCCTGTCACGATATGCTTTAGGGTTTATGCGTCCCGGCATTGATGCTCATAATATTGCCAACTATGCACTGCTTGATCAGATAGCGGCATTGCACTGGATCAAGGAGAACATTGGCTCTTTTGGCGGGGACAACACACGCGTCACGCTCATGGGTCACAGCACTGGTGCCGCCTGCGTCAATTATCTAATGGTCTCGCCGGTGGCATCAGGTAAGTGGCACTTCCAAATATCCACACACAGAGCAGCCCATATTTATTATTATGCCATTTCGATACAGGTCTATTTCATCGGGCCATTCTCATGTCTGGGTCGGCTATGTCTGACTGGGCCGCCAGCAATCAGTCCCTACAATTGACCATGCAAATAGCCCAATCCCTCGACTGTCCTCTGTCTGACCACGAGGAGGACGATGCTCTACTCGATTGCCTGCGCCAACGTCGGTGAGTCAATCAATTTATTGAATTATTGAGTGGTGCGAGTGTGGTGCACTAGTCCATTTAAATCGCGCCACAATGCGCGCTAATGCCTTTTACTGTTGCTACTACTGCCCATTATCTTGTTTGGATGTTTGGCCCTAATTTAATTTACGCTGGCATCTTCCAAAAGGCATCCCGCCTGGGCCTTGATTCATTTGTGCTTAATGATTCGATAAATTTACGACAGTGTCGCGTTCTCAATGAGCCGTACACACCACTGGCACGCCTCTCTGCCACCGACTTTAGCTGACCATAACTAATCATGCGTGGGCATAAGTCTGGAGCTTAGCTATAATCCTTTGTATCCATTCTATCTAATACACGCGTCTAATAAGCGGAGCGTTTAGCTGAGTGGTTCGCTGTGGTTCATTTTGGGGCGAGGCTGTTAGGCGGTGGGCGTAGTAGTTAATTGCTTTTCAATTAATCACGTTTTTGGATCGCTTCTGCAGCGACAGAGGTCGGGGCCTGGGCTCATCCACTTAACGGCCCATTAGGTGGCGGGCTCCATAAATTATGCGTTTTATTTACATATTTTTTGCGAAGCTCTGATTTTTTTTCTTTTTACAAGAGTTTTTGGAAGGAAGCTTGTTCATATATTGTTTATATATATATTGTATTGTATTGTATTTATCATTTGTAGCTATATATATATATGTAAATATAAATTTCGATTTTAACTAAATTATATTTTCTTTAAATGGAACAGCTGAAATAGAACCTTTTATGCAGTAGAAAATCGCAAAAATGTATGAATAATTTTTTAATTATATACATTTAAGAGTGGAAATGCTTGCATTGAACATGCATTCATTATTATTTTATTTGAACATTTATTAAAATCACAGTTTTATTTGCTTCAATTAAAAAAGAAAACAATTATTTATTGTTACTCCGCCTTATTTGAATAAATTAAATCACAATATTTTGTATAATGTTCGGTTTCAATTTTAATTGCACATTAGCAGTGTACAGCAACAAATTCCCATATCCTACGCAGAGCCATAATGAAAATGTGTGAAAAGTGAGCGCATAAGGAAAATGGAAAAACTAAAAAACAATTTGCATACAGAGCAAAATAAAAGCACATGATGTAGAATAATATATGTAAAACAAAATCAACAGCGGGACAATAATAGTAATTATGTTAATTATGCCAAGCACATGCACACACTCATACTTACACTCACACTCACTCTTAACGCACACACATACACGTTAGACAAACACTGCAACTGTCGCTACTTTGCGTGTTTGTTGTTTGTGCGCGTGTGTGTGTGTTGTCTAGTTGCTTTCTTTTGCCAGCTCTACCACTCACACCCTTAGCCTAGCGCATTTGAGCCGCAATGAGCTTGAGGCAAAGATAAAGTTTATAAAACTCAATTATCCGATGGCTATATACCCTATATTATTTATAATTATTTTCTTTGATAAGGGAGATATACAGATAAAGGAGAATAAATTAAGCAAATGTAACTGAATATGGGATTAACGACCACCTCCTTGCGCTGTTAAGTGGACTGCAGAGTTTGGAGACCTAAACATAATGCCCTATGATGCCCTATGTTCATATTACGCGCCATGGGAAGCCATGGCAGTAGATATGTTATTATATAAGAATTAAAAAGGATTGCTCTTGACGGAGCGACAATTAGCTCAGCATAAATCATTTAATGAAAAAATATACATAGAGAGGGACGCATAAAGAAATTTATGACATATCGAAAAAGAAGAAGATAAGGTCGAAAGTGTGTAAGAGAGAAATTTCGACGGAATAAATAAAATTACAGTTGCAGAATTCCTTGTTTTGAAAAAGTTTTGAGATCATCAATATATTTCATATGAAATAATATTGTAATAATTGAATTTATTTTTATATCTTTGATGGAATCCTAAAGAATATATATAATTATTTGTAACTGGTGACAGGCAGTCGTGCTGCCTGTTAAGTCAAGATAACTTTGAGAGCAAAAGGTGGGAAATGTGTTAATGAGTGAAAAAGGCTTTGGAGTACATTTACGTCTGGGTGTGACTGTATGAAGAAGTAAAGGAGTGACTGGGTGAGTGCTTGGGTGCAGTGCATGTGCGAGTGTTAAATGAATGCAATGAATTATGTATGAACTACTGTGCATACACAGACACTCCAACTCAAATGTGTAACAGCAAAGCAAGTATTTTTGCCACATTCTTATTTGCGCTCCACACACAAACACACACACACACAGACAAGCGTAATCACTCAGATGGAACTAATATGGTGTGCGTGTGTTGTTCCTTTGTGTGTTGTAACTGAACATACTTAATATTTAATTATAGCCGAGCCTGTGCTGGATTTCTTGCAGTTATTCAAAAGATTTGCTCATTTCCAAATGTTCAATTTATTTGCTCTCGAACACACAGATCCTGTGATCGTTATTCACATTCGGGCTTAGAAGCCCAGAAGGAAAATCGTGATTTAATTATTGAGCACTACAATGGAAGGAATAAGAGTCTTATCTGCCAGTGAGCTGTGCGCATTTCATTTTCTGTGCAGCTAATTATTAATTTACAAAGGCATTTACATTGCAGTTAACACTGTGCTAATATTTCGCTTTGCTGATTGCAAAATGCAAATGAATAATTTATGCAAATTGCCTCACACGACACACACATGCAGCTATTCAAATAAATGCGGCAGCTGTTAAATAAGAAATGAGCATAACTAATTGATACCGAGAACTTTCTAATTTCTACAATTTGATTTGAATGAAGACATAAAATATTAAGCAATTTATTTGAGCTTGTTTGCTATTTCATTCGTTTCGCATTCAAACAAAGAACTACAGCTGGTGCACATTTAATCGCCTTACAAGTGGTGCCACGCATCAGTGAAGAGAGGGAACGAATAATACAAATCTATTCTAAAGAAATATATGTATATCAAATATATGCCTGGCAGCAGACAAAAAATAAACTACTGCGCGTAAACAAATGTTTGCATTGTGCTCGTTTGAGCTCTTTTAATTGAAAATAACAAATAGTGAAGCATATTAAAAATTCATTAAACAGAAACCATCAACTACAAACTGAAGAGAAGGTCGATTTTAGTCAAAATAAATGTTGGGCTTGCAACAACTAGCAGAAGAGTGCGAGTTGCTTAAGTAGCTGCATGCTACATACAAGCAGCGTCATCAATCTTCGTAAATGCTACACACACTCACACACAGAAACACATACCCACTTGTATATATAAATATATATATATTGCAAGTGTTCGCCAGACAAATTTGTGCATTGTATTCGAGTTGGCTGCACAAAACTCTGACAAATATATTTACTTAAATAGGACAATAGTTTATACACAAAGTCACTTAAATAGGTACACGTTTTGTTATACTCCAACATTTATTTATTTACATTATTTATACACATAAATGTAATCAGTTGAAACTATGTTTGAAATTGAAAAAGAAAATTAATAAGATAAAACAATGTAGAAAAAATTAACGTATAAAATATATTACATATTATTTTCTATTAAAAGACATAAATAAATATATTAATATATAAAAATTTGTTTATATTTTCATATCAAATTATATATTGAATTACAGTAAATTGAAAAGCTATTTCTATGAAAGTGCACACCACAGTGTGCCCGCACATATCTGTATATAAGCCAACTATTGCTAACAAGTTAATCGCAGTTGCAGTTCAACTTGCGACAGTTTTGCGACAGAGCGTAGCTAATAAGAGCAGTCAGTAACAATGCAGGAACTAGATGGAAAGAGCGCAGGTTCTGTCCTGTATATGAAAATCATAAATCACATATACGACACGCTTCAAAAACTTTGCGCTCTGCAGCTGAAACTCAATTGAAACGCTGCCACTGCAAGCGGAACATTGGCTTAAGGAGTCCTTGCAGTCGAACACACTGGGTCTCTGGGCTAAACAGAAGCAAAGGCGATAAACTTGGTCATGTGTCGATGGCCACGCCCTGAAAGGCAATTGTCGTTGACCGCAAGACCGATGCCTGCATCGGAGTTTGAACATGCTTTAACCATTGAAATGCCAACAACAGCCGTACAAACTACTGCGTTTGATTAAGTCTTAAAGTGTTTGCGGTGCTCTGCTGTGGCTGGTTCGATGGGTGGTGCAATTGCCGTGCAGCTTAAACGTGTCAAGATTATATTGCCTCAGGGGAGTCAGCCCAACTTTAAGTGCGCTACTGCGGTAATTAAATCAATCACCACTAAATGGTGGTTTCCCTTAACATGTATTTAAATCTATATAAGGCCACGGTGAGCTAAAAATGAGCATATAGCGCTCATTAAGGGTACTCCGTATATTCCGTTTCGACATCGAATTCACATTTTGCACATTTGTGAAGCTGCAAAAATTTCAAACAAAATTTGATTTTCGATTGTGCCAGGCTTCAGAATATATAATGTTAAATCATACCCTGTTGAAATGGAAATAAGGTTAGAGGGAATATGGGTTCCAGAAACAAAAGATTACAAAATACTTTATAGAAAGGTTAAATTTCATAATTAAGTCTTTAATAACTTAAATAAATGTGAAATAAAATGATGACGACTGAATTATAATAATATGTAAAGGAAATCCTTTAGTCGTCCTTAATTTATTTCTTTGTATGGATTGCCTGCATTTGGGAGATAAAATTGTGCTGCGTGCAACTGAATATTTGCTTCGTTTTTTTCTTAATTTTTGCCAATGGCAATGTACTTCGCCGGAGTGCAACTCTGGCATCTGAATTTTTATGCAAACTGCTAGAAAAATTGGACCCAGTCGAACTATTCAACAACGAAATGTTGCAATGAAATTCATGTCGAGGCAAAAAGTGCATTCGCTTATGTTTTTGTTGCTGTCATGGATGTCTATATATGCTTATTGCATTTCAAATATGATATTCTGTTTGGCAGAGAGTTTATTGTCTTGCTGAAAGGAGAATTGAATCCAAATGCGTTTATTTTGTTGTACAAATTTACTTTAGCATATATTTGGTATAAGTTCCTCATTCTGTATATTCTCTACCACTCTCTCCATCTTTATCTTTAAGTAAAACTAAGCAGCAGCTGTGTTGAGGAAATCTAATAGCAAACATGCCCTAGAAAGCCATATGTGTATCTGTTGGGTTGTATCTTTATGTGGCGCACGTGTGTGTGCGTAGGGTCCAGCAACAAATCACACATAAAATTTATTAGAAATTTCAAATCAAAGTGAAAAGTAGCCGCTGTCATTTACACACATACACTCAAGCACTCGCACCGACACACACGCGCACTCAGTGACTCATTCATCCAGTTATATGACCTTTTTACGTCATTTGTCTGATGCTTTCTTTTTGGTCTTTGCAGCTACCAGGATATCTTGCACATACCAACATCGTTTCAACAATTTTCAACATCATTGGGTCCAATTGTCGATGGACACGTAATACCAAATCAACCATACAAGGTCATGGGGCATTATACGGAGCATTTCAGCCGGTTTGTTAAGCAATTGCTGTCGATGTTCTCTCTATATATACGTTTTGGCCATAGCTTTTGATATTTGCTTCAGACCTGCCAAATAGCCCAAGGACTATTTATTTATTGTTGCGTTACTTGATTAGATGTTTGGCATGTGGCATGTTCTGACCCTCAGGTAAAATTAAATCGCTCGTGAAATCCAAGTATGCATTTTGAACGAATTGAGCAGCTATTCGCATCGCCTCTAGTGCCACTTGTTGGACTCTCAAGGCGGTTTAACGCTCCAGTTAATGGCATGTTTTAATGTGTCGCCGTTTCGAGCAGACTCTAGATTCAAAGGCCTCAACAAAACATTATGAATGGCAAACAAGTTGCAAGCGTCGCACAGCAATGGGTAATTGTTTGCTCAGACAGGTTAATCATCGATGGTTTTGCAAATATTTGCAATATGTTGAAAGCACTTTCTCAGAATATTCACGGCAAAGGGAACGTAAGCCGAAGTACTCGACGATTAACAAAGAAAAAACTTTCAGTCAGACATTAACATTCTTTTATTATTATTTTGAAAAAATTTGCTTAAATACTAAACCTTTAAATTTAATCGGTGAAATTGAATGCAAGTTAAAAACTTCCCTTTAAGCAACTATTTAAACATGCTTTATAAATTTAAGATTAAGATTATATTATCACTCAAACATCTCAAATTATTTGTAATAATTTTTTAATATTAAATTAATATAAACTTCAGTTTGTTTGCTAAGATTTAAAACCATAACTCATTCTCTCTCAGCAACTTATAATAATAATTTATTTAAATTAGCAAATTTTAAGCTTTAAGAATTTCAATTTCTTTTCATTCGACGTCTTTATTGATTTAAGATACCCGGGTTGCCTAATATTTTAAGCTCGCCAAGCATCTGCGATAATATCGAGCTGTGTTTGTGCTTGTGCTTGAGTTTTCGTTGTATCCACATCAATCAATCAGGCAACAAGTAATAACTCAGGCCTTAACAAAAGGGTTCATTTCAGCATTTTTCTTGCTCCTATCAGCTTCTTTTGTTATCTGAGCTATTCTCTCTCTCCTCTTACATCCTTCTTCCCATGTCTCTTTCTTTCTATCTCTCATTCCTTCCTGCTCAATCTCATTTCCTGTGACTCTCACGCGTACGTTGTGGAACGTGTCCATTTGCTTTTGGGATGCTACGCATAATCGAATAAAATGCGTGATTAATTGGATTTTAATTGTTATCCCTTTGCAAGCCGAACGTGTTTTAGCTGTCGACAAGATGCTGCGTGAGAAAAAAAGTAAAATAATACCTGAACGGAAGTGCCATTAATTACGGTTTACAGGCAGGCAGGCAAAAGGACATTCAGAGGTTTGGGCTAAAGGTAACTGCAAACTTGGCTCAAACTAAATGGAAACACGTTTTGCACGTTTACAGCTCTAAGTTTTGCGAATTCAGCTCGGTTCGCATTTCGCTTTTAAGTACTTTAATGAAATGCCCATAGATCAAAGTGGTAAACAGAGTAAAGCGTTAAGTAAGGACAACAATTATCTAGCATCAGCTCCTTTCTCTCTCTCTCTCTATTTCCATCTATATCTCTCACTCTCTGTCATTGAATAAGTTTTGCATTTACTTTTATCGACTGGTAGCAAAAACCTGACCAGACACTAATAACTTTGCCTTGCCGTTCGCTCTTCAGTAGAATATCTGGCGCGCAACAAGGCACAAACTATGTAGTTGAGTTGTGATGCTCTGCTAGGGGCTTGCCAGCTGCATGATGGGTGGGCTGGCCATTCTATCATTTACCATTTATCAAGCAGCGTAACAAGTGACGCCGCAGGACCTCGATTTATTCCAGTGCTTTTAAATGCCGTTTACGGCATCAAGTTGTCTGCAATAAGCGAAGGCTACACTGCTCGAAGTTTATAAGTTATATACTAGACTAATTTTAATGAGATGCTACAAAGCTTAGAGTTTTGAAAGATTCTACCAAAAAACTATAAAGTTAAAAGAATGTCATAATCTATTTGATCCCAGTGCGTTATCGATTATATACTTCTAAATTTTTTTTTGTTATTAAGCATAAAAAGGAAAAACTATATTCACATACCAGTTATGAAAAAGTATAAAAGAGGGAGGGGGATGTTATAGTTGGCCAATCGTTTTGCCAAAAACCTATTCTTTTAAATATTTTCAAGGCGTATTGAGGTGTCTAATCACTCTACCGCTGTATCTGCTAGCGCGCCTTCCAACCTGGTCCTCCACTGTATACGGACTCAGGTCACGATGATGGCTGGAGGGACAAGGACAGGTTATAATTTTTCTTATGGCTTAATTTTATAAGGCCTGTATGTGATTATAATCTGGGCTACACATTATTCATAGACTCTTCTTTTGGCTGTGCGATCTGATGCTTCTTCTGTTGATCAGCCATCACAAATTATATTTTTAGCAAAAAACGAGTGTTTTATGTATATTATGTAAAGTTTTTTTATATACACAATATAACAATTGATTTCGATTTAAATGCTATTTTATATTAAAAAATGTATTACTAACAGTAAAGTTTGTTTGCTAAGTTCTACAACTAATTTCTTGCAGTGTGAAAAATTACTTCCTCTACTTATATAAATGTAAGGCAAGCCTAACTACTCACACACTTACTCTCAGCCATAACTCTATAGACTCCTACTCAGTCCAAGCGCTTACTCTCACTTTCTCACTCTATCCCACCATTGCTATGTGTCTATCTCTCTCGCACTCTCTCTTATACTCCCTTTTGCTGTCTCTTGCAGTTATGATTTATTATTCGGCATCACGGAGTCAGAATCCTATCATACATTGGCCGCATTAGCACTCGAGGAAGGATTACGTGAAAATGAACGCGATAATTTATTGCGCTTCTATATGCAGAGTCGCTTTGATGTTCGCCCCGATTTGGCATTGGCTGCCACGCTAAAAAAGTAAGTGAAATTTATGCGGTGTTTTATGATGGGCGTGAAATACAAACCGACATCGTCTATGGGTTCAGGGGCTGGCAAAACTTACAACTTGGCTGCATTTAACACTTTGCGCGCATTGTACACATACACACACATACATAAACGTACATACACACATATATATCGTATATCTCAATTAGAATTGTTTATGTGGCAATTTGTTTGCTTTAAGTGGCAAGGATTAGATCCGCGTCGCCAGCGCCTACAAAATGCCTCGGCTGGTGTCACAGAATCCTACACATAAGCTTTGCTTTAAATTAAAATTTATTCGCAGTGTATTCTAGCTTGAGATTGAACAACAATTCACTCAATTGATTGGATTTTTTAGAGATATACAGTTGCGTTCAAATAGGTAGTTGAGGCAATAAATGGCATTAGAAACGCGCTCTTATGAGTCTGAAAATAAGCAAAAGCTCGTTCCGGGTAATATTTATTGCACTCATTTAGATTTTTTTAGAATTCTATTCGATTTTATTTGTCTACGTTCTATGAAGGACACTTAAGCTGTATTTTGTGAATTTCACAATTATTTTTTTTTAATTTTTAAGTGTAAATCTTAACTATTTTTTCTTAAGATTTTTAAATTATTAGTGCTTTATATGGTACATAAAAATGCTAACGCTAAAAAGTATGCTATTCTTTTTACTTGATCTTTTATGCTACTCGTTTTCGTAGTATATAATATATTTTAATATTTAAATAACATTTCAGGATATTTAATTCAAATTTTACATTTCATCTTTAAACTGCCAGTTTTATTATTTTTTCTTAAATTATTTTATTTTTTCTTATATATGGATTCATTGGCATTAAAATATTTCTATTATGCCTTGTGTGTCCTATTAACCAATACATTATTTTGATATTATTATTTAGCACTCTAATAATGCATGTCTCATTAGCGTCAAAGCTGACACGAACAGCCGCATTTCAAGGGGCAAAACAAAAAAATGTTTTTTTTTGCGACCATAAATAATAATGAAAAAGACTCTCTGGTGGCGAGAGGCCAAGCAATTATGCCGAGAGTTAGTTAGTTATTACTTCGACTCTGTCCAAGTCCCGTTTGGCTCCTGTTCGCACACACAGCTACACTCAAAGACAGACAAAGGAACACACACATATATTATGCCCTTCATTTCATTTCGGAGCAAAACAATGCCAGCGACTATCTCATTTCTACCAGCCAGCCAGTTTGTGTGTGCGTATGCCTTGTTTGTGCCGTGCAATAAATAAATAGCACAATGCACAAAATTTGAACTCAGCAGCGCCGCCCCCACAATGTCCACGTTTCAGCTGCACTTTCTTAAGCGTGTGTGTGTTTGCCTGAATTGGATTCCTTAGAGATGCGTTTGAGTTCGGCCAGAACGACAGTTTATACTGTATATATCTATTTATATATATAAAGTTATTTGCACAAAACAGTGCAATTGTTTCTAAAGACGCTCGACAAGGACTTTAAGCCAAACTAGTCAGAACACTAGAGCAGACTATAGAGTATGCTTTCCTTTAGTTTGCATGTACACTGCACATTGTAGTAGTAGCACATAGTAGCACCTATAATGACACTGAAAGAGAAAATCTAAATCTAAACTGTAGAAATAAGTCGTTGAAGAAATAAATAAAATGCTTTTAGCTACAATTCGAAATGTGCAACATTATATAATTACAAAAGTTTTCGAAATGCTGGCAGCAAAAAAGCAGCTGCCCTTCATGAGAGTGTCACAAAAGGTAGAGTAACAAAAAAGAATGCATGAAGGCTGCAGGCCAGTTGCCACTAGCGGATAACAGCAATAACACCCACAATAATAGCAACAAAAAACAGCAACAACAGCGACAGCAAACAAGAAGAAACAACGACAAACAAACGATTGAAAGGAAGTTCACACAATCAACAACAGATGCGCTTTTTCACATGCGAATAACTGAACATGGAAACTCTCCAGGGAAATTGTTTTGTATGCCACTGCCTGCCACACACACAAACACACACATACACATAGTTGAGCAGCTGGTGCAGCACATCCCAGTGGCAATGCTTTGTTGTCCGTCATTGAATTAAATGGCAGTCGAAACAGCAGCTGCAGCAGCACTTGCAGCTGCTTCTGAAGCGGGCAATGCCTCGGCACTTTTTACTCTGCAGCTCTACATGACGCACAAACAGCTGGACAGCTCTATAGCTGGACAATTTAGACAACTGGACAGCTGGACAGTATATGTAGTAGAGTATCAGCAAAGCGTATCCTTTGTAGTCTGTGGCTTCGGTTGTTTTTAAGAATATTTCAGAATACCCCGCAGCCAGGAAAACCTGCACTCTTCTCTCTGCTACATGACACGTTTCAAATGCATCATTCTGTGTGAACAGTGGTTGGGATTGACCTAAAGGGGCGGAGATCACTCTGATAAAAATACTTGAAATTGTCATTCGATACATCAATTGAGTTATTGTTTGTGGTCTCACTCTAAGTGCAGCTGCACTCCCAAGATTTTCACTGGAGTGCTGAAGACTAGGAGTAAGACTGAGGTAAGGACCAAAAAAGTGAAAAAGCTTATTGCTCTTATTGATTTTCGTTCGGAGCAATAATTCGTTTAAAGAAGTTAGAGAAGTTAAAGAGCTCGTGCAATATGCTTGAGAAATTTCAATTGTAATCAAAACGGATTATATAAAGGGGAAGTGATAAAATCAGTCTAAGTTGCTGCAGCGAAATTTGGATTGTAGTTTGATTATGTCTTGTAACTGCCAGTTGTTAATTGTACTTGGTAATACATGTTTAAGCTGTAAGTGTGAGAGCTGAAGTGCGGCTATCAATAGAAGAAATCAATTTGATACGATTGTAGCTTCAATACGCCACACAATCGCTTAAGTAGCTTGATGAAAATTTCACTTAGCTAAAGCTCTTCACATATTTCCCACACACTGAGACTCACACGTGTAGCAACGTCTTATGGCTTATTGAGACAGGCTCTAATTCATTGAGCAGCCAAAAGGAGACCGGATGCGAGCCACTAAATAAATGCCGCTTGGCCATTGCCTTACCTCGTGGCCCCCTCTACTGAATGGGCCATTAATCTGAGTTTCCAGGGTGAATGTGTGTCGGACTTACGTTTGAGATCCGGGCATAACCAGCAGCAGCAGCAGTATCAGAAGAAGCACACAAAATTCACTGTAATGCCCAAATGGACAATTTCATGGCTAGTGTAAATCAAACACGCCTGCAATTAGGCCACACAGACAGAGGCGCCCTCACGACCCGACTCACCTGCCTCGACCAGTACCAAGTAGACAGCCCAATTTGAGGCCCGAAACAATTTAAGGCAATTGCTTTGAAACTCATTAGCATGCAAGCCGCCCCCATTGTTGTTGCCGTTCAATTTCTGATGTAGCTCGAGTTGTAGAGCAGCGTATATTAGCCACCTGCTGCAGTGTTGCACAACGTCGAATAAGGCTAGTCTGCGCCAGGTCTCTGTATCTCGTGTAACTGTATCTGGCCAGCCATTAAATGCAGCACGAAAACATGTCCGAAGCTTGGCTAAAAGGGTCAAACACTGCGCCCCCTAGACAAGGCAATACGGGGCCAAAAAAAGTCATAAAGTGTTGAAAGTTGCGCAGAGCCTAAAAGTTAAAATGTTTCCCCACTTACAACTTGCGACGGTTTTAAAGAAAAAAATGGCACAAAACTCGCTGCGTGAATGATGCTCAAAGGATGCTGCCCTCTTCACTCCAAGCAGCTGCTCAAATGAAATAAAACGGAGCCAAGGTGAACACAAAAGAACTGCACGAGGCCCCAGCTCAAGGGCCGCCTTACAGTCAAATTATTAGAAATTATGCAGAAAGTTGCAGCGGACTTGAAGCAAAAGTGGGAAAAGTAGCCCACTTGGCAGTCAACATTTATTAAATATGTATATATATTGAAGTAGCCTGATCCAGAGAGGCAAACAATTTCAATTTGCGTCTCTCTAGGAGCAGCTCTTAAAAATAATAATAGATTTCTTTTTGAAGTTAGGGTAATTCTGTGAAAGTTTTTGGGCAACTAAATTAAGTTTTAGCATGTGGCACAAGTAACTTTCTCATTTCTTATTCTTCAGCTGAAAAAAAGTTTAAGTTTAAGATTTTTACAGCGAGCAATATATATATATATATATATATATATATATATAATTTTATATGTATATATATTTATATATGTATATATATTTTATATGTATATATATATATATATATTTATTTATTTGTATATATATTTATATATGTATGTCGGGGATATGGGTGATTCTGATGCATCCATTTCATTTCAGATTTCATTTTACTTTCTTTCTTTTAATACAATTACTTTTATTTAATCAAGCTCAGAATGCGGAGAGTGGTTTATGTTATCTCCTTTTCATACGCCGACTTTCTGCCAAACCTCTTGTCTTTCGCACCGCCCCTGTGCTAGTCTCACGTTCGGTTCCTCTTACTCTAGAAGACTACCATATGCAGTTATTATTGGCTCGTCCTTGTGTATCTCTGCTTTATTTAATTTGTAATGCAATGAACAATTTCTGCAAACTAATGGCATTCTAAAACTTAAATCAATTCAGTCTCTAGCATGCATACTTGTCATTAGTAATTTCATTTTCAAAACCTGTTTTTACTCCTATTATCTATTAATTATAGAGAGTGCCTAGCTGGCTTTTAGACAAATTAAATTTAAAAATAAATTAATTAAGTTGATCAAGGATAGATCGAATGTGACTACACGGAAGTTTTAAGAGGACATTTGCTTTGTTTTTGTTCAAGACCGGTCAAGTTGGACTTGAGGATGCTAACGTCGGATTGCAGCCAAAGCTGCAATACCATACACCATAAAATAGAAGAGGTCAGGAGCTATTTTATATTTTGATCTTGTGGGATCTCTGGTTATACCTCTTGTAAAACCAAGAGAGGTTAGCCAACATAGTCCTAAAAGACTGAAGGTGAAGCT